CAAGTCTGAGTACTGCAAGACTGAGTATTGCAAGACTGAGTACTGCAAGACTGGGTACTGCAAGACTGAGTACTGCAAGACTGAGTACTGCAAGACTGGGTACTGCAAGACTGAGTACTGCAAGACCGAGTACTGCAAGACTGGGTACTTGAAGACTGAGTACTGCAAGACTGAATACTGCAAGACTTGGTACTGCAAGACTGAGTACTGCAAGTCTGAGTACTGCAAGACTGAGTATTGCAAGACTGAGTACTGCAAGACTGGGTACTGCAAGACTGAGTACTGCAAGACTGAGTACTGCAAGACTGAGTACTGCAAGACTGAGTACTGCAAGACCGAGTACTGCAAGACTGAGTACTGCAAGACTGAGTACTGCAAGACTGAGTACTGCAAGACTGAGTACTGCAAGACTGAGTACTGTAAGACTGAGTACTGCAAGACTGAGTACTGTAAGAGACCTACAACGCAGCCGTAGATGTCTAGTTACCGAGTACGCCTCTAAAAATTTTCCTCTTCCCACTCGCACAATAATTGATCTCGCACTTGTGAAAACAAGTGTAGAGAAGTGCGATTCAATACTGCGACGCAGTATAACGCTAACTCACTGCGGCCTACCACTCCCTCTCTCCCTCCGTCCCTCCCCCCGGACTAGAATGACCCCTCCATCAATATTTACCTTGTATTAGCGATGAAGTTACGGATCAACGACGCCATGTTGTGCTGTGATATATTTTCACAATTTTACGTGTGGATTTATCGATGGATAATAAGCGAAGAAATGTAAGACAGAAGGTGCCGTGACGTATGCGAAAATATTTAGCAGAACACGAGACGTGTGTGTGAGTGTGTGTGTGTGTGTGTAAGTATACAGACGGATGTGGGGCGTGCGGCTTGCGTTAGAGTGTGCACGTTTCTACACGAGAGAAAAGAGAAAACGTTCTGCTATTTTCAATTTAGACCTTCCTGTTGAATTCACCCGGTAAATGTTCGTTTCTTTGCACTTGAAGCAGAAATCTGTATAAAACCGCATGGCTACTCGTATTGGCGCACTGGCAGGCGTATATCTCTCCGTCTGCGCGCATACTAGTACGTACGAAACGCTAAGAACTTCGTTCTTTTCGATAAAGTCTCAAAAGTCCATCGACTACACACTCTCTCTCCCTCTCTCGGCGGCTATCATATTTGGCTCAGTCTGCATGTATGATTGTATACGTATGAAACATAGAGAACTCTGTCTCTTTGCTGAAGCCTATATATATATATATATACATAAACGTTATCCATTCACCGCCGCACAACGTAAAAATCTATAATCTATAATCTATAATCCGATATATATATATGTGTGTGTCTACCGCGCGCGGGAGGGAAGGGGGATCAAACTCATTTGATGGAGATTACACAGAAATCCCACGTAATTATATATACGATATTGTCAATTGTCGCGCGTTCTCTCTCTATTCTCTCTCTCTCTCTCTCTCGCTCTCTCTCGCTCTCTCTCTCTCTCTCTCTCTCTCTCTCTCTCTCTCTCTCTCTCTCTCTCTCTCTCTCTATCTATCTCTCTCGCTCTGTCTGCCTCTCTTTCTCTATGGGGCATGATGTCTTTTGAGAAAAAATATAGATTAATTAAAGTGAAGTTATCTTGGCTGATTTGCTGTAACAGACGCATTGCCGCTCTACTACACAAATCATGGATATTTATTTAATACCGCGCATATAGTGTGCGCGCGCTCCCTCGCCGCTATCGAGTCCAGTTTCCTGGGCATTCTAATCGTTCTCACGGTCTATGCCACAAAAATTTAATAAATGTAATGGCGCGTATTTGTTATAGACTTATCGCTGTCTCTTCGTGAAACGTAATGCGTGTAGATTTTACACATAATAATGTAGCATTTTAATCTCTCTATACGTAACTAATACCCCGTACAGACTGCAAATTTGATTTCTACATCAAACCAGTCCGGGCCAAGCGCACGCTAACTTTTCGCAGTTTATATACACGCCATCCCGGGCTAAATACCCGCTAATATTGCTATCCGGAAAAGCCGATAACAGCTACGGTGCATTCTACATTCATAGGCACATATTTGATAAAATCGTTCTGTTTAGTGATGGAATCAGTACTAATATACACGCTGCACGCCAATTAATCATATGAGATCCATAAACGCACACGCCTCTGGTCCGTGATTCCCTGGTGCGTATGTCAGCAGTAGTAGCAGCAGCAGCAGCAGTATCAGCAGCAGCAACAGCAGCAGTAGCAACAGCAGCAGCAGCAGCAGCAGCCGCAGCAGCAGCAGCAGCAACAGCAGTAGCAGCAGCAGCAGCCGCAGCAGCAGCAGTAGCAGCAGTAGCAGCAGCAGCACTAGCAGCAGCAGCAACAACAACAGCATCAGCGGCGGAAGCAGCAGCAGTGGCGACGGCGGCGGCGGCGGCAGGAGCAGGAGCAGTAGCAGCGGCAGCAACAGCAGCAGTAGCAACGCATTCACACAGGATAACCTATTACTGCTGCACTCCCCCTCCCCCTCCTTCACAACCCCCACCACCATCCCACCCTCACTAACAGCTACAGAAGTGGTTGATTAATTGTTGCTGCACCCCTCCTCCCCCAACACCCCCCACCAATACCCCACCCTCACTAACAAGCTACAGAAGTGTTGCAATAATTGTGCAATTGCGATGGAGAAACAAACGGACCGGCAATTGTAGTGACAGACATTTGATACATTACCGGTGTCGGCTGGGTTCACAATAGACAAAGCAACACTAAATTAATTTGCCACGCGATACAACGACGACAGATTTGCATATCGTATGTCATACGCTGCATACACGGTGATCTATACATTTGGTGTATTGATGGGGACAAAGCAGGGCAGGCGACGGCACGAACGCACGCACAGATGACGGACGGAATGGATGAAAGGATGGATGGATGAAGGAATGGATGGATGGATGGATGGATGGAATGGATGGATGGATGGATGATGGGGATGGATGGATGCGATGGATGGATGGATGGATGGATGGAGATAGATGGTATGGATGGATGTTGCATGGATAGACAGATGGATGGATGGATGGATGGATGGATGGATGGATGGATGGATGGAGTGGATAGAATGGATTGAATGGATGGATGGATGG